TAGTTTTCGGTCCTAGAAAAGATGAAGGCGCCTCCCATTTTCTTTTCTCAACAACTTTTCCTTCTGATTGTCTATTCTTATTTCGTTCAGTCACATCAGCTGCATCTACTGTTAGTGGAAAAGTATTGGGGTTCATAGCAATAACAAACTCTCTGATTGAGGGTTTCAAACCCCAAATAAACCTCTCTATCTTTCGGGATTCAGTCGAAAATAATGTTCGGAAAAACGAGAGTATTCAATGAATCTTTCGGTATACTCCCGAACTGTTCCATTTCCTTGCTCTATCTTCATAAAATCTTCCTCCATTTGTCTTACTGCTGTTTTAGGACATAATTGATTTTTAAATCTATTCACAAATTCTACCCAAGACAGAGTCTGTAAAACATCCGTTCTGGTAGACGATTCAACTTCCCACCAAAATAAAGCATTTGATTTTAATACAGAAATAGCAAATCAAACTTTATCTGTTTCCGGACACCGAATGGTGTTGAACACAGATTCCATTTCCTTAATCCAGCACATAGCTTTCACTGGATCTTTCTCCCCAGAAAAGGTTGGTGGTTTGCATGTTAAAAACATCTTAATATCTCCTTCTTTATTGTGAGTGATTAGAGCAGAGGGATAAATTTCTACTCTTTCTATTTCCACTCTAGCCGGTATTCTCATAATAGATGTCAGAGTTTCCCGCAATTTCCCCATTTCCTCTGCCAACATATCTCTGGTTATATATTCTGGGTGTGGCACTGACCTTTCTTGAACATTCCCAGAGTGGGATTCTTTGTGTTCATATTGTACTTCAGTCCGACCCCTTCCCTGAGACTGACTTCTTCCTCTGCCTCGTCCCCTTGGTCTTCCCCGACCTTTATTTCTGGACGTGCTAGTTGGAAAATTAACAGGTGACTCTTCCCTTTCTTCAGACTCTGGATGAGCCGTTCTTTCAGATCTTCTAGTTCGGCTAGACATCTGCAAAGTTTAGTGATAATCATCACGTATTCACATTCCCAAATATAATGAAGTATTCAAGTTCAGATATGTACCTGTAAATTTATAATTACACTGGCCAGATGTAATTAAAATTTACCTTACACACTGTTCTTTCAACCATCATATTTATTTCTAATGGTACTAACTATGTCCAGGACCCTTAACATGCAATAAAACAGTTTAAGTCTAGGTATCATGCTGTTAAATACCTAAATCTCTTAAACTCAGGCTCTGATACCATTCTGAAATGCTCCAAACCCACACATTGCATGTATTTCATACAAAAGAAATACATTATATCATTCCTTTCAGGTCCCTTAGTACAAGAATCTAATATGACCAAATACAAGGTCCAAAATTCAAAATACATCTCTTGTACTAATCAAACAAAACTGTACATCATAACATATCTTCAAGCAAAATTGCATATAGGAAAATATTAAATCTTCCTCTTTCCCTTACCATCTGTACCTCCTGCAACACATAGTTAAAATCAAAAAAACGAGGGTTAGACCGAAAGGTCTAGTGAGATACCCTATTTATGTTATTGCAGGGTGAAAAATCACCAAAACCTTTAGGGAAAGTATCATTTCATATATATAACAAATATATGAATAATTAGAAATGTAATACCAGATCTTTTCCATTTATCAAGCAAAGAATTCTGTTTATTCAAATCTCAAAACTCTGAACCAATCAGGTTCTACATAATGCCACTTTTAAACCTTTTCTTAACCAAACAAGGTTATTTAAAGCTTCA